TGTCCCTGATCTATCGGCCATGCTCCCGACTTCCGAAAATCGCTCTGTAGTCCCTGTGCAATCAATCGTCGCCGGCGATAGGACCTGTGTTCGCGAAACCCAGAGGCACAGCAACTCAGCAACTCTTCGGCCGGAGCAATTGAAGACATGGACTGGATCGACTGGATGAGCTGGATATAACCGAGAAGAATCACCGAGCGACGCGAGGATCTGGACCTGACGGAGCTGTTATCTGAAGGGCGAAGACGATGCAAGCGACGGGTATTGGCGAAGAAATACTCCTGGTTCGCATCGACGGGAGCAGAGACGAGAGAAGCGGAGCTCGAAGAAAAGATGAGCCATCGCACCACAACTGAGTGCTGAAGCGCCGATTGAAGAAATTGGAGAAGGAAACACGAATTCGTCAAGGAAACGGTCGAATCGAAGGAAAACAAATGCGAATTCGTCCAGAACTCGAACGAATCGACCAAGAAAGCAGCGGAATCGAAAAAGAAAGACACTCGAACAATGGAAGAGAAAGTGAATATTTCATGGAACAAATCAAGAACGAAAAGTTTTTTCTCCTATTCCATGTCGAGCATGCCGGAATCGCCTGAGATGGGTTAGTGGCGGAGGACGACGATGGCAGTTGCCCGGCACGGGAAACTAATCGTCGCCTGCCACCGGGAAACTATTGACGGTGCCAGAGGGGAAAACAAACGGCCAACAGGGGGTTAAGTGACGTGAGGGACTTGATTGCAATTGTCATTAAGTATAAATTGTTTTAATAAATATAATATAGCTGATTAATTAATAATTACATATAAATAAATCAAATTATTGTAACCGTTAGATGTGTTCAACGGTTGAGATTAAATAAAAAAGTGGGTGCGTTCAGTGCACCCAAAAAAGTGAGTGCACCGAAGACGTCACCATATATATATATATATTATAGGTGGCTACTTCGGTGCACCCACTTTTTTGGGTGCACTGAACGCACCCACTTTTTTATTTAATCTCAACCGTTGAACACATCTAACGGTTACAATAATTTGATTTATTTATAATTCATTATTAACTAATCAACTATATTATATTTATTAAAACAATTTATAATTAATGACAATTGCAATCAAGTCCCTCACGTCACTTAACCCTCCTGTTGGCCGTTTGTTTTCCCCTCTGGCACCGTCAATAGTTTCCCGGTGGCAGGCGACGATTAGTTTCCCGTGCCGGGCAACTGCCATCGTCGTCCTCCGCCACTAACCCATCTCAGGCGATTCCGTTTGGAATAGGAGAAGACAGATTTCTGTTCTTGATTCGTTCCCAGAAATCCTCACTTTCTCTTCAATTGTTCGAGTCTTCTGGATCCTTTCCTCTTCCTGCATCACTACTTTCTTTTTTGATTCGGCTGCTTTGTTGGTCGATTAGTTCGATTTCTCGACAATCGCCTTTGTATCCCTTCGATTCGATCGTTTCGTCGACGCAATCGTGTTTCCTTAGTCCAGTGCAATCGGCGCTTCAGTCTCCACCCGGCTTCAAGGATATCTCCTGGACGTAACACACCGACCAACCCCCTCTACACCCATACGAGACTTGCGCTGATTGATTAATTCTGGGGAACGACAGATTTGCTGAGTTGCGGTGGATACAGAGAGTCAACTAAAGATCGCCGGCTGTCGAGTGATTCCCCTGCGAGCTTCGCCGGAAACAGGATAGCAGTAAGATTTGGTGAGTTGCGGTGGAGCCTCCCCTGCCATTCCAATTCAGTTCAGCCTTGTTGCTTCCTCACGTATCCAGAACCTAAAATCCGTAGAGGTAATCGACGCAGCTTTTTTAGTTATTTTGTTGAGTGATTTGTGCTTTGGCTGAAGGGTTAGTTATGTAATGTAATGTAATGTACTGGTCTTGTTTTGGGTTCTCTTAAGTAGAAGAATATATAGTTTTGTTGTTTACTGTACCTTGTCTTTATCAAATAAATTGAAACAAATTAGCTCTGCAGGTACGCAAGTTGAAGGTGGAAGATGGATCCCACCAGCAATAATACACCAACAAGTGACAGGTTAGTCATCCATACTTTTGATTTAATACTACAAACGGAGTATTTTACTTTAACAGTCATTTTTATTTAATTTTTACAGCAACGAAGTTAGGGTAGGGTCAAACATGGAGGGGACCTTTACTGTAAGGGAAAAAGAAGTTGAGGTTGAACCAGCACGTGAGAATGAGGAGGAAGAAGAAATAGCACAATCTGTGACAAATGAGAATGGGGAAGAAGACTCCGAACAATCTATTCATGTTGAGGAAGAAGAATGGGAAAATTTATCGAAGTTGAAGGCTACTGATGTCTATAAAACGACTTTTGGTAGTTTGCAGGATGGTGAAGCTTTCTATAGGAGATTTTCCAGAGCAATTGGGTTTGGAATTAGAAAGAGTAATACTCGGTATGATACAAAGAAAGAAATCGTGTCGCGCAAGTGGGTTTGTTCTGGTGCAGGTTTCAGACTAAAGAAAACTACAGACAGAAAAATAGAACCAAGGGTAGTAACGAGGTTTGGTTGTGAAGCTTATATGCTTATCACTTTGAAGAAGAAGAAGGACATGAGATGGCATGTTACTCGGTTTAGAAATGAGCATAATCATCAATTAGCTCCCTACCATCAAGTTCATCACCTTAGATCACACCGTGAGTTGAGTAAAGCAGATGCAGCACTTGTCTCAAGTTTGAAATCTGGCGGTTTGAGGCCCTGTCAAATCATGAATGTTGTGTCCAATGCAGCTGGTGGGTATGCTAATGTGGGGTATACGAGGCAAGACGTATATAACTATGTCGATAGGTGCCGAAAAGAAAACATCAGCAACGGTGATGCTACAGCTGCACTGAGTTACTTGAGTTGTAAAAGCTACAATGACAATGGTTTTTTTATGAAGTTCAAAGTTGGTGATGATTCGAGACTGGAGAAGTTATTTTGGGCGGATAGCATAAGCAGGCTAGACTTTGGATGCTTCGGTGATGTGTTATCGTTTGACACTACATACAAGAAAAATGCGTACAATATGCCTCTAGTGATCTTCTCAGGTATATTATTGGAATTACAAGTTTCTTTGTTTTTTGAATTATTGTGATGCTTTAATTTCAATCTACATATGTTTGGTCAATATTGTAAAAAGTTCGGTAATCTAATTAATTCGTGACTAAAATTATTGTGCTAACTTTAATTTGACATTGCATTTTTCGTTTGTAGGTGTAAATCATCACAACAACACGTGTGTGTTTGCATGTGCACTCATGAACAATGAAACTGAAGAATCTTATGATTGGGTGTTAGAAGCCTTTGTGGAAGCAATGGGTAAGAAGCCTAATGCCGTTGTCACAGATGGAGATAAAGCAATGGCGAATGCTGTTAGTAAGGTTTTTCCTGATGCAACCCATCGTTTGTGCTCATGGCATCTGTTTGGTAATGCAAAGGACCATGTGAAGGATAAGAAGTTTCTTTTCTCGTTCAAGAATTGCATGTTTGCTGATTGTGGGATTGAGGAGTTTGAAGAGAGGTGGAGGTCAATGATCACCAAGTTTTCAGTTGAGGACAATAGCTGGATTGGAAACACTTATGAGAAACGGCGAGAGTGGGCAACTGCATACTTAAGAGATAAGTTTTTTGCTAACGTCCGGACGACATCTCGTTGTGAAGGGGTCAATTCATTCATTAAGAAGTACGTTAGTTGTCAGCATAATCTCCTGGAGTTTGTGAATGATTTTGATCGTGCATTGCGGCATTTCAGAGAGAATGAGGTTAAAGCAGACTTCAAGTCCAACTATGGAACTCCTGAGCTAAGAAACACAGGTTTGAGATCTCTCGAAATAAGTGGTGCTAGTGTTTACTCAAGGGAGGCATTTTTTACATTTCGGGAGCAGCTCGAAGCATCTAATGGATGCATTATGACCAGATCTTTTGAAAGATCTTCTCACCGTGTCTATGAGATGACAATGTATGAAGACTCCGAGGTTGTCATAGAAGTTACATATCAACCAACCACATCAGAAATGGAGTGCAGTTGTTACAAGTTTCGTAGTACCGGTATGCTCTGCGCACACATGATTTCTGTATTACGGGAGCAGCGAGTGAAAGAGTTGCCTTCGGAGTTGGTTTTGCCGAGGTGGAGAAAAGACCCAAAAGGTACTATGGAAAAACTTCAAAGAAATGACACTCCATCAGAGGAAGAAGAACGCATATGGAGATCTGGCATTATACAGTACCACAACTTACAATTGACATCCTTAGCTGCCGAATCTCCAAGTATGTTCAAAGTTGCTCGGGCAGAGATTTCAGCATTGTGTGCGAAATTGAAGGGAATGAGTACTCTTAGTAAAGGTGCTTCCTCAGAGCCTGCTGAAGATGATCACGGTGATGCATCTGAACGTTATAAAGATGTTAAAGATCCGGTACAGACACGATTTAAAGGTGGTCGGCTGACTAAGAACAAGAAGGGGAAGGTCGTCAAATCGAGACAATGTGGCCATTGTGGTGGTTTTGGTCATTATGCCTCAACTTGTAAAAATCCTCCAAAAAATTCGACGAACAGTTCGAGTGAGCAAGTTAGAAACAAGAGCACAGCAAAGGTTGAGGAAGAGGACGAGCTTGATAACGAGGTCGAGGAAGACGAGGACGACGAGGAAGAGGAAGAGGAGGAGGAGGAGGATGACTCTCAAGATGACGACGAGGATGGGGACGATGATGAAGAGGAAGAGGATGACGATGACAACGACGATTCTTGAAGTAAGTATGCACTATAATTTTATGTTAGTCCTCCTGCTGCTCGTGGCCTTGTAAGTCTTAGTTGTAGCATTTCATTTTATGTTAATGTTAGTCCTTAGCAGGACGGCAGTTTAAAATGGTTTTTGTTTTGCGTAGGCTCCGGGTGTTGGAACTAGTTCTGGAATACCTCCTATTGCCAGTGTGGATAGACAGACAGGTACTGTTAATTGTAGCTTGTTTAGCATACCATGAGTTTATAGTGTTTTCTTTAGTGGTTCGCCCTGCCTGCCAACCTCAGCGGTCGCAACCCCTTTCTCTCCATGCTCTCTCGGCCGCGCCAACCAGCCGCACCGCCGCCTGTTAGTTTGGTGGCTCGTCCCGCAGGCAATCATCAGCAGTCACCGCCAGGAGCCATTGCCACCAAGTCCCTCCTCCTGTCGTCGAAGAGCAGCCTCTCCCTTTCCCAGGTATGAAGTCAAGAATGTAGTCCATTTGGGAAGAAAATCGCACAAATTAAGGTGTGTTGAATTTAGGGAATTTTCCCAATTCTGAATCTAGGGTAAAACTTGAAGAGTGCTTGTCGATTTGTTGGTGCTAAAGCAGGATCGGCAATCCAAATCTGACGAATTAGGTTACCTAAGGCTGGAGTATCAGGGGTGCATGGCATTTAGCCCATCCTGTCACCGTGAGAGGGAGTCAAGTACTGGAAAGACGACTTGGAGTTCTCAAGGTTGGAGAAGGCACTTACCTGGGAAATGTTCTAATCGGAGCTGATCTCAACCTGGTTCTTGTTCTCTTACCCGTATCTGGTGTTAAAGAACCTTGCTGGCCCCAACGTAGTGTCTTACAACAGTCTGATTTCAGGTTTCTGCTTCCATCTATCTCATTTATTTGTCATTTTTGGCTTCAATCAGTCATCTTGTTTCGAAGTGTTCTGTGATTCGATGAATTTGTGCATCATGGTGTGAATCAGTAGTTGAATGCAAGAGTGTCACTTTAGGGATTTTTCTTGAATTGGGGAGTTCTTGGGAAGTCCTGAACTAGTCGGTGGAGAATGCTTTTTGTTGCCAGTTGATCTAAAGTCTGGGGACTGCGTCAACAGTTATCCTTTGATTCTCGTTCTCAGTTCCAGCATTGAGCTAGTGAAAATGGATGGCAGCTGCAGTTCCCTTTCAGTTTAGTTATTTTTGTTTGAAGAATTCGAGCTTTCATTGGCGAGAAGGTAGAATTTTTATTGATAACTTGAAGGATGGATATTTACAGTAGGAAATGCAACACGAGAATGGTTTGGACTAGTTTGCAATGTAAATTACCTTCCGATCTCCAGTCTGCCTATAATTCCCTTCCCTTTTATTGATCTTTTGGTTTTGCTATTCCATGGTCGATTCAGTTTGATGTTTTGCTAAGTTGTGTGGCATGGAAGTTTCTCAGTAATTCTTCACGTCTACTCATTAAAGAAAGCCTTTTTTTTCGTTTTAAGTTCTTTGGTTTTCTTGTGAACAGGATATGGACCAGCTGGATATGCTTTGTTTGTGGCAGTATATGCAGCATTGGAGGTATGTGCTCATTCTCTTATTTAGGCCTTAATTCAATTCAGTTTCATGCATCTAGTGAGATCTATGAGAAGTTCTTCGTGGTCTTAATACTAGTAACTACTGATGTGATAGATGCACGATACATGTGATGATTTGGACACCAAATTTAGCATATAGCTATAATTCCATGTAGACATTTTGTGAAGTTCTGCATACTGAGATCAAGTTCTTGTGGTAGATGAATGCAGCTGACTTGTTGGTTCTCATTTCTCTTGTCTTATTTGTACGAGTGTCAGCTATCCTTATCTATGGTGTTGTGATTGTGTTAATTTTACTGTTTCTTAAGGTACGAAATATGAAGCGAAATATTGGTCTATTTTCCGGGTTCATTTGGACCGGTAATGAGGTGTGTATGTATTGAGTTATACATTTAACTTAAATTTTGGGATAGAATTCTCTTTATGCGAAGGCTTAGTCTTAAGCTTGAAATTGATTGTGGTTTATGATTTCTTGTTCTCACAATAGGAAAAACAGAAGTCAAAAGTTAAGGAGAAGCTTGACAAGTGCGTAAAGGAAAAGCTTATAGATTTTTGTGATGTGCTCAATATTCAAGTAACTAAAGCCACAGTGATAAAGGTCAGTTGTGATTGGTAATGTTATTGCTTTCTTTTGGGTACCTATAAATTCGTTGGTTGTCTGGAAATGTTTTCAGGTAGAACTCACTGTAAGAATCAAGGACTTCTTGGAATCCCCATATGCTACAACTGATGTTTTGCTCGCTGATAAGGAACAGGTATTCCTTTCTTATAATCATTTGTCTGTTATACCTAGTTTGGGTTTCTTTTCCACTGGTAATAGTTGCTATCCTATGTTCTGTTCCAGAGAGGTAAGAAGCGAAGGTCGATCACTGGGAAGAATTCAAGCCCTGGTGAAGCATCAGCTAAGGTTAGTTTGTCTGTTCTTAATAGAGAACTTGGTACATTATAGCTGTTAATGGGTTTGATTTTCATGTAATTTGTAATCTTGGTACTACCTACTGGTAGTAGCAGTAATAATTCTCTAACCAAAAGGTTGCTTCCCTTTGCTAGTTTTGTTGATTTATTGTTCTTTCTGATTCCATCTTCTCTTGCATGATCATATATACTAATGTTCGCGGCTGCTCAACTCATTAATGATTGAATTTTAGATGGTAAAACTGGGTCCACACCACTATTATAATGAAACTTCCTTGGCTGAGAGCACCATTATCCAGATCTTTTTGTTGAGATAACCTCAAACTTTGTACATTGTTAATAGTCCATTATGCTCTTCGGATGTTAATAGTTCATTCTTGCTCTTGGTCTGCGGTGGTCCTTCAATTGAATGATTATTTTGACTTCCCTTATATTTGCTAGTCATTTTTATCCAATTTTTGTCATGTAGCATTAACTCAAATGTATCCGACTTTTATCCAATGTTTATCCAATTTTTGTCATGTATCCGACTTTTACCTCTCAAATAAAAAACGTTTTCTTCATCTTAAGCTGTTAAGAAGGAGGGATTAGGTCTGTGTGATGCGGTTTGCTGATTTATTGTTTCATTGTGTCCGATTTTAGTGCAGCAGTACCAAATTTCAAATATAATAGTTTTTTAAGTTAGTTACAGAAACTCAAATGCGAAAACATAAAGATTTTATCTATTTTTAATTTTAGAGTTTAGCTATTTTAAATTTTAAAATGAGATATTGCAGATGCATACAGATTTTCAGATCCGTAGAAGTCCTTTTCAAACTCAAATGCGACAACAGTTTTTTTCGACGGGTGTTATAAACTCTTTCGTGAATAAGAATAGTGGTGTGAATCTAATTCTGTGTTTCTGTTGTGTGCAAACTAGTACGTTCCCTTCCCTTCTCTCATTAAAGTTTCCCCTGTATATTAATTCATTGTTTATTCTGTTCTGCCTTTGCCCCTTTTGCTGGTCTTGTGTGTAATCGTATTTTTGTGCATGTGTACTGTGTAGTTGGATAGTAACTGGAAACATGGGGGGTGCGGACAAGGGAAGTGAATCAACTAATGGCCTCAATGGGAATTCTTCGAAGAATACAATGGTGAGCTTCATATCAGCAACTTTTCAAATTTTATGTATTATCAAATTTTGAATATGATCCGAGCAATGTTCACTTCTGTCCTGGAAAATGGGTCTTTTTTACAAATCTGTATTATTTGTTTTCGTGGATGCAGGAGAATACCGAGAAGGTTGAGAATCTGATTAGAGAGGTTTATGAGGGAGTGACGGTGATGTTCAGAAAAACTGATAGGCGTTTCGATGACCTAGCCAATGACTTATTGGATCTGACAGGGAGGAATTATGAGCATTGTAAGCTTCTGAGAGAGACGACTGAAGCGGTTGAAGCGGAAGTTACAGAACTTAGGGGTACCCTGAGTGATGAGGTTGCTGATCTGTCTAAACAGGTTCGTTGCGTGAACAATGCAATCAAAAACCTGAAGACAGATCTGCTGGATGCAGTGAGGACCGAGGTTCAGAAGTTCATTGAGACAAAGAAGGAACGCCAGTATGTCGACTTGACTTTAGAATCAGACGGGGTGAGTTTCTTTTACACGGCTATGTATGCTTTTTATTTCCTTCTTTGCTGACCCTAATTATCATTACACTTTAGGGAAATAGCAAACCTGTACGCCGTGCACGTGCAAGTGCTCGTTCCGTGGGTGGAAAATTGAAGGTGCCAGCGTTTCCGGATATTACCAAACCCAAGAAAAAGACTACAAAATGTAGAGCTGGGCCTTTCACAGTGGGGATTCATGTCAGTCCCGAGGACAGCATGTTAGTGGATTATGTATTCCGTACCGGCAAAGAGGGAGGGTAATTATTTCTTAATCTTTTTCAATTTATTAAGTACTTTTGTCTCTGTGACTAACTTGAATTATTGCTTTGTTCATTAGTGATGAGAAGATCGCCATGATAATTTGCACCTTTCTAACTAGGGAGGATATTTTGACCCTTGCACCTAAATCTCCACTGAGCACGTTGGTAAGTTCTGCATGTTTGGCCATTGATATACATTTACAAAGTAACCTACGAAAACCCATATATAATTAATCTGGTGAACTACAGATTCTGGACACTGTTGTCGAAAAGTTGACATGGGAAGACAGGGACAAACCAAAAAGGGAATGCGCCTTTCTGCCCGTTACATTTGCGGTATGACATTTATTTTGCTTGTGGCTTTGAGATTTTCATTTGACTGATCATCTTATTGGATTAGGCGAAAGCTTCTGGAAATAGAGACGACCTACGAAGCTTCATCAGCTTAGAGCACTTGAAAACGCTATACTGTACTGACATTCGTGACTGCGAGGCGGTATGTATTTTTCATTGTGAATTTGTATTAGAATTTGTATTTTCCATTGTGAATTTTATCACTTATCCGTCTCCTATGCTTTTACAAGTAGTGCTGATTGAGATTATAGGAATTCAATTTGTATGGCTAATCAGGTGTACATTGTTGTAGCTGTTAGATGTGGTATGGCTTAGACTGATTTAGAGTAGAACTTTGTTTGATTCTCTTGAAGAAGAGTAATTGGTGGGATTTCAGCAACGATGATGTCTAACCTGTAGTAAGCTAAAACCTTCATTTTGTTCTTAGTAGGAACAGATTTTGCTGTTGATGGCATCGATTATTTATTTTCCTTGACTAAGGCGATTACTCCCAGACCTCGACATGTTTTAATGTCTTGCTGTTAATTTATTGTTGTTTTGTTGATTCAGTAGTCAACAGCCAATGATCATAATGAACATGCTTAACTAATTGTTTTTTTTTTCACTTGAGTAATTAGTTGATTATCACTGTTGTGCTTTATCATTTTTGTACAAGCTTGATTCAAAGTTTTCCTTTCCCATGACCATCGAATCACTAGGAGAAACCCCACAATGTAAAATTCAGGGTATCATGTTCAGTCTTGATGCTGCAGTTAACTTTTCCATTTTTATCAGTCTACTCTAGAGCCAATTGTCTTGCTTACATATTAACTTTCTCCCTGATTTATTTTATGTTGTATTTCAGTTTGGCCAGAACTTAGATATTATGTCCCATCCTTGCAAGCAGTGAAAGCATACTGCCTCCAGAACCTAGACTTTCTACTTCTTTGTATTGGTTGTACATGAGATTAAATGCACGAACTGTCTTTATATGTTTTTTTATAGATATTCATTCCCATATACATGGGGAACCATTTCTTGCTGTGCGTGGTAAACCTGAAGAAGCAACAGTACTGTCTTTGGGACTCGCTACCGTCATGCATGAAGGAGACAGAAATTAATCAAAAGCTGGTGGACATTGTAAGTAGAGTTTGTAGACATCGGAATCTGGTAATAGATACAATCGTACTAACATTAACTTGCGCAATTACAGATGGGAGCCTTGGATGTATTATTTTTTGATGACGGCGCTGCCTGGTTCCATGACGTTAGCTCATTTCTGGCTTTTGAGTTCAACCCAACAAATGATGCTCCCCGCCAACCCAATACGTAAGTAGAATAGCAATGTTTTCATTTGTACACCATTTTTTCGAATAAGTTCACTAATAGAGCTACGTTCTTTGTACAGGTGGGATTGTGGTATGTTTGTGATTAATTGGATGAAATGTGGCCGCTCCTTGAACAAAAAGACAGCAAAGTGCATGGGGAAACGGGTAAGTTGATAAAATCGACTCATTCTCCATTTATTGTGATTTCTAATTTCATTGATCAATTCATTTGTAATTTGACAGTTCAATAGTGAGGATGAACGTTTGAAGTTGGTGCTGGAACTGATCGATTGCACCCAGAATGAGAAGACAGCCTTACTTCACAAAGCAAGAGAACTGGTCGCATGAATAAGCTTTACTGGATGAATTGAGGCGAATGAGATGTTTATCAATATTTTGTTGTGTTTAAACAATTGGCTTGGTTTTATTTTTGGAGGATTTTCTGCATGTTGTTGGGATTATTAGTTCTATTCCGTGGATTGGAATCTCTTGTTCATTTCGTTATGTTGTTGGGGATTAGTGTTCCAAGTTATGAGGCTTTAGTACTTTGCTTAGACGGCTGGGTTTAAGCTGAATGATATTGCCCATGGATATTTTAATGCGATTTGATGAAACTAAAGAGCTATCTTCTCTTCTTTTCATCTCAGTTTGTTTCAATTTATTCTTTGTGTATGTTGATGGGAAAGTAAACTGTGTCCTGTTGTTATACATTATTGAGTGCAGGGGGTTGTTCATGGGAGCTGTTTACAGGTGCTTAATTGACTGTCTTCGTTTTCATGGACGAGGCAATGTATGTGGGTTCAAAGAATCGTACAAGGGGGCTTGGGACGTGTTTAATGGCTGTGATCTTCCACATACAGCAGAGGCACTAAGTGGTGTTCTGGAAGAGTTGATTGGTGTTACTGTCACTACTTCTGAATGGTTGAGAGTTGCTAAGGTTGCTGTTAATAGAAGAGCTTCTGTCAATTATCTTCCCATGGGATTCCAATTTAGTGGCCGAATGAACTTGCATATGAGTTCCTTGTGTTGGTGCTTATTCCTGGATTGCAATCATGATGTCACTGAATTCCTTCGTCCACCTGAACTCCCAGCAGCTGACCATATTTGAGTAGCAACCTCCCATCAAACTTGGCTAAAGAAGTGTCCTTGTTGGAGTCATTACTTTATTGTTATAGTTTCATTTCAATTCCTTTGTTTTGAGTCAATTCATTGCTGCATTGTTTGTGGGTTTTCAGGGGATACAGACTTGAGGGGAAGTTAGTTTTTAAGGGGTTGGGAGTTGTAATGGCCCAAGGTCTAATAAGAGCTAGTTGTAAACAGTAGAAGTACAAGGACCACTTTAGATATTTGTATAGACTATAAACGCTGGTCTGGCTGTATGAGGAAGCTAACGAAGTGAGAGGAAAACTAAAACAAATACATAAAAACTTTTAAAGTCTCTATGGGGGATCGAACCTGCTACCTTTCCAGTTACTAAATTTAGTCAGCATATTAAACCACTAGGCTGGTCGCCTGCCATTCGTACATAAGACTATCGTTTACAATTTTATTCAGTTTTTTTACCCACACTCTGCGCCGGGATGGGTCTTGTAATTTAGATAATTTAATTCAGTTTCCATTGATGTCCCACTCAGATATCATGAATATGATCAATGAGTTATCTAACATGAAATTCTTAATCGAGCTGCTAATTTTAACACTACCCAAATCAATTTCAAAGCTTGACCAAATAAATAACTATGAGTGCTAGATCCGATTGATCAAAGTTTGTCCACCAGCTAATTAACTACGAAATTTTCAAGAATTTGCGAGCTAGAGTACATATTACATAATTCAAAGTAGGCATATCTATGCTTTGATGCTTCTGCTTTCAGTTCCAGAATTTAGAGCCACACGTACGGGATAGTTCCATTTGATTGCATTACCTGAAATGACAGCAGAAATAAATAAATTTGAGTTAAACTAATGAACTGATACCGAAAAGAGTACAAATGAACTGTCCATTGGAGATTAAAATTGGCATAGTCTTGCTGACAGTAGTAGTACCTCTACGAGTACGAGATCTAATGACATGAGTAAAAAGGAAAGACCAAGGTTGTAGTATATATCCAGTTCCTTAATCCACAAGAAAACACTATAAACTCATGGTATGCTAAACAAGCTACAATTAACAGTACCTGTCTGTCTATCCACACTGGCAATAGGAGGTATTCCAGAACTAGTTCCAACACCCGGAGCCTACGCAAAACAAAAACCATTTTAAACTGCCGTCCTGCTAAGGACTAACATTAACATAAAATGAAATGCTACAACTAAGACTTACAAGGCCACGAGCAGCAGGAGGACTAACATAAAATTATAGTGCATACTTACTTCAAGAATCGTCGTTGTCATCGTCATCCTCTTCCTCTTCATCATCGTCCCCATCCTCGTCGTCATCTTGAGAGTCATCCTCCTCCTCCTCCTCTTCCTCTTCCTCGTCGTCCTCGTCTTCCTCGACCTCGTTATCAAGCTCGTCCTCTTCCTCAACCTTTGCTGTGCTCTTGTTTCTAACTTGCTCACTCGAACTGTTCGTCGAATTTTTTGGAGGATTTTTACAAGTTGAGGCATAATGACCAAAACCACCACAATGGCCACATTGTCTCGATTTGACGACCTTCCCCTTCTTGTTCTTAGTCAGCCGACCACCTTTAAATCGTGTCTGTACCGGATCTTTAACATCTTTATAACGTTCAGATGCATCACCGTGATCATCTTCAGCAGGCTCTGAGGAAGCACCTTTACTAAGAGTACTCATTCCCTTCAATTTCGCACACAATGCTGAAATCTCTGCCCGAGCAACTTTGAACATACTTGGAGATTCGGCAGCTAAGGATGTCAATTGTAAGTTGTGGTACTGTATAATGCCAGATCTCCATATGCGTTCTTCTTCCTCTGATGGAGTGTCATTTCTTTGAAGTTTTTCCATAGTACCTTTTGGGTCTTTTCTCCACCTCGGCAAAACCAACTCCGAAGGCAACTCTTTCACTCGCTGCTCCCGTAATACAGAAATCATGTGTGCGCAGAGCATACCGGTACTACGAAACTTGTAACAACTGCACTCCATTTCTGATGTGGTTGGTTGATATGTAACTTCTATGACAACCTCGGAGTCTTCATACATTGTCATCTCATAGACACGGTGAGAAGATCTTTCAAAAGATCTGGTCATAATGCATCCATTAGATGCTTCGAGCTGCTCCCGAAATGTAAAAAATGCCTCCCTTGAGTAAACACTAGCACCACTTATTTCGAGAGATCTCAAACCTGTGTTTCTTAGCTCAGGAGTTCCATAGTTGGACTTGAAGTCTGCTTTAACCTCATTCTCTCTGAAATGCCGCAATGCACGATCAAAATCATTCACAAACTCCAGGAGATTATGCTGACAACTAACGTACTTCTTAATGAATGAATTGACCCCTTCACAACGAGATGTCGTCCGGACGTTAGCAAAAAACTTATCTCTTAAGTATGCAGTTGCCCACTCTCGCCGTTTCTCATAAGTGTTTCCAATCCAGCTATTGTCCTCAACTGAAAACTTGGTGATCATTGACCTCCACCTCTCTTCAAACTCCTCAATCCCACAATCAGCAAACATGCAATTCTTGAACGAGAAAAGAAACTTCTTATCCTTCACATGGTCCTTTGCATTACCAAACAGATGCCATGAGCACAAACGATGGGTTGCATCAGGAAAAACCTTACTAACAGCATTCGCCATTGCTTTATCTCCATCTGTGACAACGGCATTAGGCTTCTTACCCATTGCTTCCACAAAGGCTTCTAACACCCAATCATAAGATTCTTCAGTTTCATTGTTCATGAGTGCACATGCAAACACACACGTGTTGTTGTGATGATTTACACCTACAAACGAAAAATGCAATGTCAAATTAAAGTTAGCACAATAATTTTAGTCACGAATTAATTAGATTACCGAACTTTTTACAATATTGACCAAACATATGTAGATTGAAATTAAAGCATCACAATAATTCAAAAAACAAAGAAACTTGTAATTCCAATAATATACCTGAGAAGATCACTAGAGGCATATTGTACGCATTTTTCTTGTATGTAGTGTCAAACGATAACACATCACCGAAGCATCCAAAGTCTAGCCTGCTTATGCTATCCGCCCAAAATAACTTCTCCAGTCTCGAATCATCACCAACTTTGAACTTCATAAAAAAACCATTGTCATTGTAGCTTTTACAACTCAAGTAACTCAGTGCAGCTGTAGCATCACCGTTGCTGATGTTTTCTTTTCGGCACCTATCGACATAGTTATATACGTCTTGCCTCGTATACCCCACATTAGCATACCCACCAGCTGCATTGGACACAACATTCATGATTTGACAGGGCCTCAAACCGCCAGATTTCAAACTTGAGACAAGTGCTGCATCTGCTTTACTCAACTCACGGTGTGATCTAAGGTGATGAACTTGATGGTAGGGAGCTAATTGATGATTATGCTCATTTCTAAACCGAGTAACATGCCATCTCATGTCCTTCTTCTTCTTCAAAGTGATAAGCATATAAGCTTCACAACCAAACCTCGTTACTACCCTTGGTTCTATTTTTCTGTCTGTAGTTTTCTTTAGTCTGAAACCTGCACCAGAACAAACCCACTTGCGCGACACGATTTCTTTCTTTGTATCATACCGAGTATTACTCTTTCTAATTCCAAACCCAATTGCTCTGGAAAATCTCCTATAGAAAGCTTCACCATCCTGCAAACTACCAAAAGTCGTTTTATAGACATCAGTAGCCTTCAACTTCGATAAATTTTCCCATTCTTCTTCCTCAACATGAATAGATTGTTCGGAGTCTTCTTCCCCATTCTCATTTGTCACAGATTGTGCTATTTCTTCTTCCTCCTCATTCTCACGTGCTGGTTCAACCTCAACTTCTTTTTCCCTTACAGTAAAGGTCCCCTCCATGTTTGACCCTACCCTAACTTCGTTGCTGTAAAAATTAAATAAAAATGACTGTTAAAGTAAAATACTCCGTTTGTAGTATTAAATCAAAAGTATGGATGACTAACCTGTCACTTGTTGGTGTATTATTGCTGGTGGGATCCATCTTCCACCTTCAACTTGCGTACCTGCAGAGCTAATTTGTTTCAATTTATTTGATAAAGACAAGGTACAGTAAACAACAAAACTATATATTCTTCTACTTAAGAGAACCCAAAACAAGACCAGTACATTACATTACATAACTAACCCTTCAGCCAAAGCACAAATCACTCAACAAAATAACTAAAAAAGCTGCGTCGATTACCTCTACGGATTTTAGGTTCTGGATACGTGAGGAAGCAACAAGGCTGAACTGAATTGGAATGGCAGGGGAGGCTCCACCGCAACTCACCAAATCTTACTGCTATCCTGTTTCCGGCGAAGCTCGCAGGGGAATCACTCGACAGCCGGCGATCTTTAGTTGACTCTCTGTATCCACCGCAACTCAGCAAATCTGTCGTTCCCCAGAATTAATCAATCAGCGCAAGTCTCGTATGGGTGTAGAGGGGGTTGGTCGGTGTGTTACGTCCAGGAGATATCCTTGAAGCCGGGTGGAGACTGAAGCGCCGATTGCACTG